CCATGTCCTGGCTCCAGCGCATCTCCCTTGGGAGCATCTCCCGAGGCCGTCGCTCCACGGTGGTCTGGCAGCGCGGGCAGGATGCTGGGGAGTGAAGGGCCGTGGCACTGAGCTAAACCCATCCTGACAGCTGCGTGGCCAGGCTGCGTGTGAGTCCAGCCCGGGGTGACAGCACCACAGCCCTGGCCCTGACAGCAGCCATGAGCTCGGATTTAAAACCCGGGGGGACTTTTTTGCAAACGCTAGATATTTATTGCATTTCTCACAAGAATAAACTCTGCTTCTACAGGAAGCTTTGGGTAGAAACGTTCTTAAAAAAGTCCATTTCTTCTGTTAGATATATTGGTCCTGACCATCCCTGGGGAGTGGCACTGGCTCCACGGCGGGGACACGAGCAGTGCCACCCTGTGTGTCCAAGCCGGGGAGGGGATGGGGCTGTGCCGGCGCAGCCACCCAGGGCCAGGACCTCGTACCGGGATAAAACACGCTGGCGTCTCGCCAGCACAGAGTACCTGATGGGGCTCCTGGCTCATTTTTGGGACAGCGCTGGTGGCTGTCCCAAGGGGATAAAGCTAAGCATGGGGGCAAGCGAGGGGACGAGCACCCGTGGCCCCCAAGAGCTATTGCTGTGGGAGGAGGAGGAGGTTCCTGAGTGGGAGGAAGATTCTGCCGCCCTTGTGCCGGGCCGTGCCGGCGGCTCAGCGCTACGGGGGGCTAAACCCAGCTGCTCAGGAGCTGCTGAGGACGCGGCAGAGGCGGCCGTGGATCTGGCCCTGCACGGGCTCGCAGGCCAGCACCTCACCGTCTACTGTCATGATGCCCGCGGCCGCCCGCGGCTCCAGGCGGAAAGCTCGGACGGGGACGTAGCGCAGGTGGGGACAGTTCAAGTCCAGGTGGGTCCCCCTGCCCATGGCCAGGAAGAGCTTCAGCAGCGCCACGCGGCTGATGCCGGCCTTCAGGTAGAAGAGATGGATGCAACCGTCATGCAGCCGGGCTGCCGGTGCCATCAGCAGGTTGGTGCCCAGGTGGGACTGGTAGATGGCGTAGACGGTGACGAACTCCTCCTCGGGGACCACCGTCCAGTGCGTCGGCACCGGCTGGCACAGCGGCACCAGCAGTGAGTCGGCAGGCAGAGCCCCAGCCGCCTCCGTCCCCGCCGGTGGCAGGATGCGTCCAGCCTGGCCGTTGGTGACGGGCGCGTGGGAGTCCCTGGGTGCTGGGGCAGTGCCCTGCTCGGGGACGGCAGGCAGGTAGGAGAGGCGGCCCTGGTACACCCGCAGCTTGGCCAGGCACTGGAGGGTGCCCAGGGTGAAGCGGGCGTTGCCCAGCCGGCGGTACTTCTCGCTGTCGATGTCCACGTCCGAGATGAAGCCCCAGCCAAAGCCGAGGAAGGAGAAGAGGCGCTTGCCCGAGGCCGTGCTCAGCGACACCAGGTCCATCTGCGTGTGCAGCCCCTTGCACAGGATGAAGGCGCAGTTCGTCAGCAGCTTCTTCTTGGCGACGTGATCGTTGCTGCGGGGGATGGAGAGGGTGAGTTTGGGCTGGACCCAGCTCAGGGCCTCTCCTGCTGTCCCAGCATCCACGTGCAACCCTCTCCCCTGTGTCATGGCTGGGACATATCCCAGCTGGGTGACAGTGTCCCTCAGGGACAGCTGCTGGGAGAGGTTTTGCTGGGGGTGGGAAGGATAAACCAGCTCCTGAAAGAGGGAATGAGTTGGGGCTGCTGGGCCAGGGCAATCCCGGTCCCCCTGTCATGCAGCGGGATCAGCTGTGCTCCAGAGCGGCTCCTTTGGGGTAAAGCTGTGCCAGATTTGGAGCCCAGAGAGGAGGAAGGGTGTGGGGGGAGCTGGGGACCCAGAGGTGCAATCCGATGCTTGCAGAGACCAGCTGGAGCTGTGCCACACCAGCGTGTGGGAAGGTGGGGACCCAGGTGGACACCCCTGCGCCAGGTATCCCTGTACCCAGCACCCTTCCCCTGGGCTGGAGCCATGCACAGCCTTTCGCTTCCCTCATCCCCCCCACCTCGGTGCCAGCGCAGCCCTGTGTGCCGGCTGGTGCGATGCCAGCAGCGGGTGCCCCCGTGGGGCTGGGGCTCACCCTGCGTAGTGGTTGATGGAGGCTGCCAGGGCGTTCCCGGAGCCCCCCGGCAGGATGCACAGCGGCTTCTTCATGATGTCCTCCCAGTCCGGCCGCTCCATGAGCCCATTCACCACCTGCGGGGACGGAGGGAGCTTGTGGCACCCGGGGCCAGGCAAGGAACCGCCCGGGGGGAGCGGAGCCCACGGTGCCCCTGGCCAGGGCAGGACCGAGGCCATGGCTGCCCTGCTTTGCTCCAAGCTGATGCCATCTCTCCTTTGCCATTCCCTGCCTGCCTTCGTGTCTTGAAGCTTGGCTCCTGCCCCAGGCATCCCTCTCCTCCCGGCACTGTGCCCATCCTGGCCGGGGGGATGCCCTGGGGTGCCCCTCACCTCATACAGGAGCCCGTCCCCGGCCATGACCACCAACGTGTCCCACTGCGACAGGTCTTCATCCCGTACCTTCTCATGTGCATGGTGGGGTCTCTCTGCGGGGGAAAGTGGAAAGAGTTGAGCGTCGCCCTCCGTCCCTCTGCCCTGCCTGCTGCCATCCCCCAGACGGTGACCCCAGCCCCACTGTCCCCACAGGGGTCCCAGCCGGGGGTGCAGGAGGTGAGGCAGTCACTCGTATTGAGTGCAGCCATGTCCCCTTGCACCCTTTGCCACCACCGCCTGCGACAGCCCACCCATCGTGTTGTCCATACCAGCCCCGCGGGAGCCAGAGCTGTGGCGATGCCGGGGGTACGAGGCCCCCAGAGGAGCCCATCCTGGGGCGGCAGCACCCAGGTAGGATCCTGGGAAGGGAGGAGGAGGAGGAGGTGAAGGAGCCGCTCACGTACTCACCGGTGATGAAGACGGTGGTGGCGATGTCGGCCTCGGCCAGCATGGGCTGCACCACCGCCTGGAAGTCCTCGAGCGCACGGCCGGCGCCGCTCTGCGGGTTCAGCAGCACCAGCGCGCGGCAGGGCCGGGGCAGCACCCCATAGCTGTCACCTAGCCGTGGGGGGAGAGGGGGGGGTCAGGGTGGTGGGGCCGCGGCACTGCCCGGGGAGGGCTTTGCAAGCCAGGGCAGCGTTTGCCATGGCCCCACAGGAAGGGGAGCTGCCCTGGATCCCCACAAGCTCCCCGGGCTGCATCCCTACCCACAGGCAACGGGAAGCGAGCAGGGATGGAGGGTCCCTGCTGGGAAAGCAGGGGAGGTGGCAGAGACGGGGACATGGGGTCCTGCAGGGACTCGTCTTGAGCTCTCCCACAATCAGCAGAGATGTTTTACGCCCGGGCCAGAGCCCCGCAGCAACCCAGCGACGCTGCAGTGGAGCCAGGGCTCTGCAGCACCGAGCATCCCTGTGCATCCCAGGGCCGCGGGGTGCTGCCGGCTGCGCTTTCAGACACGCCAAGGAAAGAAAGGTGGAAGCAAAGGGGGGTTTTGAAGCCCAACCTCCCCAAGGGCACCTGGCCCCAAACACCCTCAGCTGTGAGTTTTCCCTGCTGAACTCCACAGCTCGTGACATGGCTCAGCCCCCCAGTGCACCATGAGCCAAGGACGGGGGACGAGAGCCAGGGGGACTCAAGGTCCCAACTCCCCACATCCATCCCAGATGGAGCAGGGCCAGTTCAGACACCTGCGCTGGCAGACGGACGCTTCTGCTTCCCCTGCTCCCCACGGGGCTCAAGTTTCGCGCGCGAGGGCCCTGGCCAGGCTGTAATTACAAGCCTGGCAGGGGCCCACATCCCTCTGCCCCCCCGCCCGCTTCCAGCCCCCGAGCCCAGTGGTCCCCGCGCGGGGGGACGGGGTGAGCCCGGGCTGCAACTGCCCTGCGAGGGAGGCACAGGGAGCAGGAGCGATGCGACGGCCCCCAGGGGAGCTGGCGGCAGCGTGCCCAAGGACAGGGCCCCTGGGTGCTGCTCAGGCACCCCGAGCCCCAAAATGAGCAGGGCAGAGTGCCTCAAGCTCCCGCAGCACCTCTGGAAAGCCCCGGCCCTGCAGGGTGAAGCCAGTTTTGCGGGGCTGGAGGGGTGTCCCCACCAGCTCTGGGCCCCCTAAGCCATGATCTGGCCCCGAGGCAGAGGGTGGGTGCCAGCCCGGGCGCGGGGGCTCTGCGGGACAGCACGGGGGCTGCGCCTGCTGACTCAGCAGAAAGAGCTGCTCTGTCAGGAACTGAGTCACCAAAGCAGACAGCGATTCCCGGCACTGCCCCAGGCCGGGACCCCCCCTCTAACCCGGGGCAGGGGGGCTGGGGCTGGCCGCCTGCCCCTGCCTTGTCTGCACACTTTGATTTGAGCTGTTTGAACGCACGGGCACCATTTTTACAGCTAAAACCCCTCCTGCCGCCTGCACCGGGGACGGAGGCGGGGAGAGGGGAGCCTGGGATGATGGAGGTCCCCGCATGTGTCACCTCCCCGGGGTGACGCCCAGCATCACACCGGTCACGGCCATGCCGGGGCTTCCCCGCTGGTTGCAGAGCTCCATGAGCTGCCCCGCAGGGAGACATGCCTGGAGCATCCCGTCTCCGTGCTCATCCCAGCCCTGCGGAGCACACAGAGCTCTGCCGATTTCGGTGCTATCAGGTTGATTTTCTGCCCCTGGGAATGACCCGGTGAGGCTGTCACCCTCCGGGCCCCCTCCTTGTCCCCACGCCGGCTGCTTGGGACCTGCCACCGAGTCCACAGCAAAGGTCCACCCGTGAGAGCCCCGTCAGCCAGGGCTGAGCCGGGGTCCGGGCGCTGGCTCTGGGCTGCCTCTCCCCGCTGCCGCCCAGGGCCGGGGGAAGCCACCGGCTGCCCCCCACCCTCCCCGGCCCCTTATCAGTGGGCGCCAGACGCGAGGGGACCAGCTGCCCTCGGGGAACGGTGGTGAAGCGCCTTGAGCAGAGGCCACCCCAGCTCGGGTCAGGGATAACAGGCAGCAACCAGCTGGGCTGGCCCCACTCCCTCCCCTCCGGAGCCTTCCCCGGTCACTACCGGCACCAAAGCCCCTATTGCCAAAAGCATCCGAGCCCCCAGGCAGGGGGTCCATGCTCAAGCCCCAGCCGCCGGAGGCAGGTGATGGGGGGCTTTTCTCTCTTTCTCCTGCCCAACTCTGGAGGATGCAGAGCGAGAGCACAAGGCAATTCAAGAACCTAAACGCAGTTTTTGAGCCCACAATGTTTCTAATCAGCCACATCGTTTCTGACACGCACACGGAGCTGCAGCCGGGTCTTGCCTGAAAATCCTGCCTGGACCCGTGGCTGCTGCCCCGTGGCCTCCGCTGGGCAGTGGGGTACGGCTGGGACCCTGAGGACCTGCTCTTTGGCTGGAGGGGGAAAGGTGAACCCTGCTCAGGGCACGGAGGGATGCCGTGACTCCATCACAAGGGACAGGTTGCTGGTGCCAGGGTGTGAATAAGAACGGGGACGTGATCCAAGCCGCCGGAGGCAGGTGATGGGGGGCTTTTCTCTCTTTCTCCTGCCCAACTCTGGAGGATGCAGAGCGAGAGCACGAGGCAATTCAAGAACCTAAACGCAGTTTTTGAGCCCACAATGTTTCTAATCAGACACATCTTTCTGACACCTGCCCAACTCTGGAGGATGCAGAGCGAGAGCACGAGGCAATTCAAGAACCTAAACGCAGTTTTTGAGCCCACAATGTTTCTAATCAGCCACATCGTTTCTGACACGCACACGGAGCTGCAGCCGGGTCTTGCCTGAAAATCCTGCCTGGACCCGTGGCTGCTGCCCCGTGGCCTCCGCTGGGCAGTGGGGTACGGCTGGGACCCCGAGGACCTGCTCTTTGGCTGGAGGGGGAAAGGTGAACCCTGCTCAGGGCACGGAGGGATGCCGTGACTCCATCACAAGGGACAGGTTGCTGGTGCCAGGGTGTGAATAAGAACGGGGACGTGATCCTGGTGCGGGACCAGTGACACCAGCAGCACCAGGCTCAGCCCAGGCTCCTGTGGCAGAAGTGGAGGGTGCTGGTTCAGAGCCGGAGCACAGCAGCGGCGATGCTCAGGCAGAGGGGACAGATTTCAGCAGCATCCCTCTCCCTTGCGCAACGCCGGCCAGCCCCTGGCATCTCGGCGAGGCTCAGCCACTTCCCGGCACAGCGCGGTTGCTTTCAACCTCAAACGCCAAGCAGAGCAGACACTGAGTCAGCAGGAGGAAGGGGCTCCAGCTGCTGCCAGCACACAAACTCTGCTCTCCTTCCTCCGCCCACATCCCCCCCATGCGACACGTGTCCTGGCCGTGCTGAGGCTGAGACCACGCTGCCACGGCTCCGCCATCAGCAGTCCCAGCTGCTCCGTCATGTCCCCACATCCTTCTGGAAACTCTCTGGGCACAAGGAACGAGCGTGCCAGGGGACAGGGCTGTCCTGCCCGGTGACCCGGCTGGCTTGAGGCTGGGACGGACTGGGGCATGCCCGCTGCATCCCCTCTCCACAGAGCGTCACCTCCGCATGATGAGGGGATGAGCACGGTGAGGGGGTCCCCCAAAACGGGGGCTTGCAGCAGGGCCAGGTCCCGCTCGCTGCTGGCAGTGCTGCCGACAGACCGCGACACCCGCGGGCAGCTTGACGGCAGCTTCCTGCCGTGGCCGGGGGCTGGATTTCCCCATCAGGACACAAGCCCAGGGGAGGTTCGCTCCCTCCCGGCCGGCTGCAGGATGGGACACTTCTCTGCACGCTGTGGGCAGCCCCAGTTTTGGGGTTATTCACTGCTGAGGGACTTTTTTTTTCCCCTTGGGGTGAAATAAGGAGGGGGGAGCTTCACCCCCACTGCAGCTTCCTGCCGTGGCCGGGGGCTGGATTTCCCCATCAGGACACAAGCCCAGGGGAGGTTCGCTCCCTCCCGGCCGGCTGCAGGATGGGACACTTCTCTGCACGCTGTGGGCAGCCCCAGTTTTGGGGTTATTCACTGCTGAGGGACTTTTTTTTTCCCCTTGGGGTGAAATAAGGAGGGGGGAGCTTCACCCCCACTGCAGCTCTCCGCAGGGCTTATCCAAGGGGATGCTGGAGCTGAGATGACACCGGGACGGGGTCGTCGGTGGCTCCCTGGGTCCCCTCCCCATGGGGATGGGGTGGCAGGATTGCTCCACACGGACTCGCACGCAGCTTCCCGGCACGGCCTTATCTGTCCCGCACACGCCACGATGCCGGCACGTGAGGGTGCGTGCGAGCGCAGGGTGTGGCGAGAGGCATTTTTAGCTCTGTCCCAAACTGGGGGAGGAGGTTTGCAAATCCTGCTGGCCCTCAGCTAGAAAAATAACTGCAAAATCCCGCACTGCCTTCTCCCGTCCTCCTTCCTTGGGCTCCCCCGAGGCCCCTGCCGTGCAATGAGATGCTCCCGCCCCAGCACCCTCGCACCGCCTGCTAAAAGGGCGAGGGTTTTAAAACGCTTGGAGACTTACAGCTGCAGAGTTCAGGCTGGAAATAGAGCTGGGGAACTGGTTTCGCCCTCACCCCTTTCCACTGAATTTGGTTTTAGTCTTTAGGAAGAGTGGCAGAAAGTTGTTTTGTAGCTGCAGGTCATGTAAAAAAGCTGCATTTTAAAATCCAGGCAGGGAAGAGCTGGGCTAAATGTGATTTGACAGGATCCCTCTAACCACATGCCTCTTAATTTCCAAGTCTGATCAGTGCGACTGGACAGCTAAATAAATGAAGTAGTGCATATGATTGAATCTCTGCTCAGACGTTCAAATACACGCCAGCCTGCTCTGCCCTGACTGCAGGAGCTGGGGGACTTGGCCCCCGAGCCAGCCGCTCCCCTTCGAGCTGGTGGCAGCTCCCGGGGGGAGAGGGAATTGAAACCTGGACCCCTCCATGCTGCCCTGGGACCCTGCTGGGCCCCGGGGAGCGTCCCGGGGGATTCACCTGCTCCCAAGTGATGGCTGGGACCTGCCAGGGACGGTGCCCGGCTCCTGTCCTGCCTGCGTCAGCAACGATGACTTTTTTTTTTCCTTGGTTAATGCTGCCCTT